TTCCACAGAGTCTTCTATCCTGGAGATAATTGTGAAGTAATCCAATTGTCTCCAAGGACAGAGGCAAAACTCCATTGAACACATGGCAGCAAAAGACAATAAAACACATAAAAACATATAACTGTGCAGCCATTGCACAAAACAGGTACATTCAACATATCCCCAGATAGCTCAGATCTGAGCGCACATTATTACTGAATGGCGCTCAGAGCACACACATACAGTTCAATTGCCATGGAGCCAAAGTCTTTCCCATAGTCTTTCATTATACGAATGGGCTCCATGGCATAGCTATCTGGGGTATCACCGCTCAAACAGGGCAAGCACCAAATGACCCGGCTTTCGTGTCTTTGCAGGGGAAAATCAAGCCTTTTAACATGGGGCCATAATACAAAGGCAACAGGCGAGCAACCAGGCTTCTCCAATGCAATGTGGCGAGATTGGTCTCGTCACAGAGGGGTAAGAAAAGAAAACGATGGAACAAAAATAACTGTATATACATTTATCTTCCTTGGAGGGAAGATGTAATGTGGTCATTTGGAGAGCACTGTGGCTGTCTCAAGAGGTGACCTGGGGGCAGGAGAGGAGCTCCTACAACCTGATGCATACATTTTTATAGTAAATAACTGCATGCGTAAGTTTCCTGTAGAAGGATTATCTCAAAGTAAATAGAGCATATATTTTCCTACATAGTTTAGGAAATAATCTTCAGTTTAAACATTTAACAATTAACATATATTTCCATATATGGGGGTGTACGTCTGATATGTGTAGGACTTTTGAGACCTGATATGCTTAATGTAAAATCACTTTTACCCGTGATGTGGTGATGGTTTATGGGTATGATAAAGATATATACTACTTAAGTCTCACATACCACATTTGGATTTTAAAGTAATCTATTTGCGTATATCATGGTTGTTGTGTGATATACACTTAACTTGTGCGCATAATGTGATTAGGGAGTGTGCGGTATTGCTATCGCTTAACCATAACTTGTAGCTTGAATTATTGTGGACCTTGTTAAACCTTCATGTAATACATGTCATGGAATATATATTTGAAGGTGAGCTCAGACATTGTCCTACGCTTGCGGACAAACAGTGTTATGCACCGTTATAAATTTTTCCGCTGTCGGATCGCAATCGTTAGAGGTTGTGGTCCATATAACAACTTTAGAGGAAATATTGTAACGAATGTGATCGTATTATAGAGCATATTTGATTATGAAATCTAAGGGCTATTTACAACAATATATTCATATTAAAAATTATATAATACTACATTTTAGTTGCAGATGATAACCAGTATACTCATCATGCTTCAAACAGAGGAATCAAAAGAAAGTGTTCATGTCTTCTTAGCTGGCGATCCCGCCATACTCCATTCCGCCTGAAGTCATTTTGGGGAAGTGCCTGTTGAGGGTAGGTCTGTTGGAGTTGTGTTGGTGTTGATGCATAGCCCCCATGCAGTGAGAAGTTTCATTCCTTCGGCCGGTTCGTTGATAACTTGAGTCTTTCCTTGTCGCCAAACCAACAGTTTCGTTAGGTATCCCCACTTATAAGAAACGTTGTTATTATGCAGAGTCCTAGTAATGATGATGAATTCCTTTCTTCTTGTCATTGTGATGGCAGATAAGTCCGCAAATAGGGATATCTGTTGATGTGATTCTGAGAGTGTACCCGCTTTTCTTGCTGCGTTCAGTAGAGTGTCCTTGTGGGTGTAGTAATGGAATTTGACAATAACGTCTTTGGGAATATCGCCTGCCAAGTCGAAGGCCCAGGCGGAATCAGGCAGCTCCGTGACCAGGGATTTGCAGATGGAAAGAATAAATGCAGGTAATGCATCGTGGGACACATCATCCGGGATACCCCTGTTACAAACTGCTATTTGTAACTGGCCCTTTAAATGACCAATTGCCCTGCTTCCTTGTATTATGGAGAAGCCTAATTGCCAGCCTTCTGCCCCATGACTATGAACCTAGTGGGTATGGCGATTTATACTATATTTGTAGGATCTGAGCGCAGTTTGGATATATTGAGCGCTCAGATCCAAGCTGTGCAACAAGCCCAGTATGCCTGCTAAAGACTATGGATTCTACAGCTGTTCGGTATTTTTGTAAGCATTCACCATGCGAATGCTTACCTGCCTTAACAGGCCACCCTGACTGTTAATTATGGCCAATTTACCTCCCTGGTTGATGGGCATTATATTCGAATCAACCGCAGGAACGCTATGGGACTTGTAAGCTCAGCCGCCATTTCGGGACTTACACGTGTTCGCGGCCATCTTAACTCCCAAACAGCGGTGTTTGCCGATGAATGTCTGGAACTAAAATCGGACACGCAAACAGGCGAACACCGCTGAGACCTCCATACATTTGGGAAAGTATCACCAAATCTACCGAACGACCGGGCGTTCGGTAGAAAGGATTAACAGCAGATGGGGATTTGAGCGAACACAGGATGGTGTACGGATGGCCGGCCGTTTGGGAGTTTTTACCCACGTTCTTAGACCGACTGCAGGGCCAGCATTCATGGAACTGTTTTCGGCTACTGTACCCGTGCAGTCGGTCAAAACTCCTAAGTCCCATATCTCCCGAACGGCTGAACCGATTGAACTGATTTTTACATATGTTGGGACCTGAACTAAGGGCTATCTGGGGATACAAGTATTTGGGGTACATCCAAACTTTGGGGAAAAACTGTTCTGTTTTAATTATGTTAGGTGATTATCTGAGGGATGGGAATTTCCCTGAATGTATATTGTTCCGATTGGTTATACTGCTAATTATGTGGGTGTCTCCCTTGCATGGGCAGAATCTCATAAAAGCAGAGTGTGTGCCATTAAACATCAGATCTTCTTGACCCTCCAACTTGCAGCCTTGACTCATGTTTGTAGGGGACAGCTATAATCACTACAGGGATTGCTATGCTCTTCATACTCCCTTAGCTACTGAGCTCTTGTAAGAGCTCTTGTTCCTGATCCTGCTTCGCTCTGCAGAAGGAAGAGGTTCACCTACTGCAACCTGGAGCCTGGTCGTGGGTCCTCGTGGGTCCAGGGCACAGAGCAGACGGCGAGATACCAGCCCAGCTGCGGTGGTTCGTGGAGTCTGCAGTACTTCTGGTGGCTACGCAGTAGTTATGGAGTCTACGGTGCTGATGGTCCTTTGGTGAGCACTAGGAGCATTCTTTCTACGGTCCAACTTTCAGCCAACCTGGAGGCAACCGTAACAACCCCTGAAACGAATATTCTGCCTTCGAGATCTATCTTCTAAATCTGCTAATTTGAGTTTTAGTGTAGTGTTTTCTTCAGATATCTTTTGTAGTCTGTCTACTACTTCGTTATGGGCCACACATAGTTCTTCTGACCTGTTTTCCAGGTGGCTGGTTCTTTCGCCCAAGGCAGAGATTTCTTTCCTAAGCTCACTGTCTATTTGATGGAAATTAGCTCTTATTGTGGTCCGGAGTTCTTGCAGCATCTTGTGAAGGCTGTGTTCCGTGATCGTGTCAGAGTATTTAGAGGAGACGGATTCACGGTTGGATTGACCGTCCGACATATTTGCCGTTTCGTCGCCATCTTGATTATCTCTTCTGCGGTCTTTTTTTCTGGGTTTTCGCCGCTTCTGTCAGTTTTAGCTGCTTGGATGGTGGCATGGTTGTGTTAAGCCTCCTTGGTTAGATGTATATCATAAAAATTGCAGTTAGTTTGCTTGTTTTGTCGCTTATCAGGTTGGATTCACGGCGGAGCTCTTAAGCCATGCGATTGTGCTCGCAGGAAGCTGGACACGCCCACGATTTGTACTTTTAAACTGGCACTTCAGATGCAGTCGAAGTGCGGAAGTCGTCGAAGCGGCCGCCATTCGAAAACACGTGGCGGCGGCCATTTTAACTCATTCAAACGCGGTCAGCAGTGTGTGCAGCCAAATCTATGGAACTGTTCGTTCGTATGTGATGTAAAATCAGGGAGTTATAAAAAATTTATAAACAGTATGATTTATCAGCTTGGAGATAATTGAGTAGATACAGTAAGAAACTCAATTATCTCCCAAGCAGAGGGGAGAGAATCTTTGGGTTGTAACCATTGTTTGATTGGCCAATGTATAATTGCCTGTGGGTGTCTCCCTTGCATGGGAGCACTGCATAAAAGGAGAGTGTCTGATTAAAAGCTACAGTTCTTCATCACCCTCAATCTAGAGTCCTGTCTCTTATTGGAGGAATCGCTATATCACTACAATGCTCTGCATACTCCCTTAGCTAGTCACTGCTAAGCTTTTTTAAGAGCTTGTTCCTACTTCACTCTCTTGAAGGAGAGGTTCACCCACTGGAACCTGGAGCCTTGTCGTAGGTCCAGGGTGGGTAGGAGACGGCGAGATCCCAATGAAGCTGTGGCGGTTCGTGAGGTCTGCAGTGGTTGTGGTGTCTGGCGGAGCACTTGGAGCCCTCCATAAGCGCTAGGAGCATCCTTCAACGGAGGTAACCAGTCGGGGTGCCAGGTGATCCGTTACATTGGTGGCAGCAGTGGGATGACGTCATAGTGCGAGGAGAAGCAGCTCGGAGACACCAGTAACGTGTAGAGTTCCAGCAAGCGGGATAGAGCTAGCGACCATGCAGCATCCCTACCTACAGCAGCATGGAGCAAGCAAGACCCTGGATAGAACCCTGTGAAGACCACCTCAACCTGATACGTCGCTATGAGGGCGACGGTTACCTTGAGGAGGTAAAGAGGCGGTTCGTCGAGTATGGCCCAGACCCTTCAAACGAGATGGTCTTCCAAGTAATGCACCAGTTGAGTGCTGAAAACCATGCGGCAATGGACTTTGAGCAAAAACTGTGGAGGTTGAGGATATGGACACCCAGTCTCCAGTGCCAGTGTGAGTCCCAGTTAGCCGAAGGTGTCCTCCTTCCTCCCCAGCGGCAGTGTGAGTTCCAGGGAGAGGGGATGTGACGAGAGCAATCTCGCCACATTGCATTGGAGAAGCCTGGCTGCCCGCCTGCTGCCTTTGGACTATGGACCAGACTTTATGTAAATGTGTTAACCCAGATAGCTATGCCATGGAGCCCATTCGTGTAGTTAAAGACTTCGGCTCCATGGCAATTGAACTGTGTGAATAGGATCTGAGCGCTATTCGGTAGTTTTGTGCGCTCAGATCCCAGCTATCTGGGGATATGTGAAATGTCTGTGTGTTATGTGTAAAAGGTGACTTTATGTATTTTAAAGTGTTTTATGTCTTTTTGCAACCATGTGCTCAATGGAGTCTGCCTCTATCCCTGGATAATTGGATTACTTTCCCCATTGTCTCCAGGCTAGAGGGCTCTGTAAAACCTGTTTGAGCCAGATAGCCATGTGCCAGCCAGGGCCCAAAAGATACTTTTACTAACTTTTGAACCCCTGGTCTGATTCATGCCATTTTTTAATATGTTGTTCCCCTGAATGGATTGATTGTGAATATGTAATTTTATGTGAATGTGATGTATGGTTTTAGAGTTATGAAAGTTGGGTAGAAAGTATGTTTTAACTGTATGTGTAATTGAGTTTCCTCTCAGGATAAGGGGAGGGAATATGTGGGATGTAACTGTATGTGATTGGTTGTTTTATACCTCCCTGTGGGCGGTCCTGTATTTGAAAAGACTGTAATAAAAACCAGGCTGGGTGTGCCAGCACCTCAGACCACTGCTTGACCCTCAACACGGAGCCTTGTCTCGTTCTTAGGGGGATTCACTGTATGCTGTTAGAGACTGATTGCCAGGAGTGTAAGCCGCTTGGATGCTTTTCGTATTCGTCTGCTAGCAGCAATTCGTATGGTTCCTGTTCATCTGTTTGGAGTGCTATATTGGATGCCGTTCGGGAGTTTGGAGCATTCACTTATTGGCGGTTCGTGTGTTTGGTGTTCTGCAGTAGCTGTGCCTGCATCTCTGGAAGGGGAAGATCTCCTAAACGGCTGTTAACCCCTTTTTATCCCTTTTGTGCAAAACGGTCCGTTACAATTGGTGGCAAGCGGCGGGATCGTTCCTACAGCCAGGAGGACAGCTACAGGAGACACCATTTCTTTGGATTTACAAGTTAAGGGCAACGCATGTCCTAGTACAGCGACCCTGACAGCACCAGGATGGAACCAGCAGTGGAGTACAGCTACTCTAAGAGAGAGTATGACCGGATGGTGTGGTTTCACCTAAGCTTCTTCGGATCCAACCCACTGGAGAGATCGGTGCGGTTCGTGAGGAACCTAGTGTTCGAGAGGATTCAACAATGGGCAGAAATAGAAGGTCAGTTGGCACGTTGGGAGAATACTCCAGCGGCAGATGCAGCAGGGAATTGGGAGCCCAGTCTCCACTCCCCAGCGGCAGTGTGATATGCCGGGAATTGGGAGCCCAGTCTCCATTCCCCAGCGGCAGTGTAAAGTGCAGGGAGAGGAGAGCAGTGTCCTCCCTCCCCAGCGACAGGCTGAGTTACAGGGGGCAGAGGTAGTTGTTCCTGCCCCCCAGCAGCCGAGTGATATGCCGGGAAGGCAGTGTGAAATCCAGGGAGAGGAGAGCAGTGTTCTCCCTCCCCAGCGGCAGCGTGATTTTTTGGGAATAGGGAGCCCAGTCTCCATTCCCCAGCGGCAGTGTGATGTGCTGGGAATTGGGAGCCCAGTATCCATCCCCCAGCGGCAGAGTATCCAGCAGGGAATAGAGAGCCCAGTCTCCTTTCTCCAGCAGCAGGACTCTGTATTGGGAGGAGAGACAGTCGGTCTCCCTCCACGGAGGCTGGAAGTATGTATGGGAGAGGAACTTGCTACCCCCTCTCCCCAGCGGCAGATTATCAATGTGCAGGGAATAGAGAGCCCAGTCTCCTTTCCCCAGCGGCAGAGTGTTCTATCGGGAGAGGAGCCTGTTACCCCCTCTCCCCAGCCACAGCTTAGTGTACAAGGGGGAGACTGTAAAATTTTTATTTTATTTAGTTTTGTAAAATGCTTCCAAAATTAAACAGAATAACAAAATAAATAACAAAATAACAATAATAAACAATCAACTGAAATAATACCCAATTCAAACATAATACCAAATGAAACATAAATACCCCAAAATTAAACATAAATACCGAAATAAAAACTCAGGAAGGGGCACTAATAGGGGAGTAAACTTATACCAAATTAAATAACTGGGAATAACAGAGAGAGGGATTAACAGAAAAGGGGGGGGGAACTAAATCATAAGGGGATAAATGAAAAGGCGGGGGGGGCTCCATTACTTCATGGAGCCTTGGGGAGGGAGAAAAAAGGCTGAAATGCTCCTGAAGGAGCTCTTACATAACAAGGGGGGGACAAGGGGGGACCCAATTGACCTCGAGTCCACAGCCAGCTAAACACAAACATAAACCAAGCGTGAAATAAAACACACACATAAACATAAACAAACCCATTACCCACATGGAGTCCTTTTCTCAGTTCATAAAATCCACCAACCACATGGAGTCCATCCCTCCGTCCATCAACACCAACCCACCACCTACACTTTAAACCCAAACTTTAAACCCAAACCCACTACCCAAATGGAGTCCATTTTCAATTCATAAAACCCACCACCCTCATGGAGTCTATCCCTCCGTCCATCCCCCAAACCCACCACCCAAATGGAGTCCTTTTCTCAGTTCATCACATCCAAACCCACCACCCACATCAAATCAAAATTTTGTCCATAGACCCACCACCCACATGAAATCCAGTTTGTACACCACCCTCAAGGAGTCCATCCCTCCGTCCATAAAGAAACCCAGTGTTTTTTTTTTTTTTTTTTTTCACCCAAAGTAAATTTTTCAATTTGTCCATACACCAGAAACCCACCCTAACCCAAACAATACCAAAAATAACCTGTGCATAACCATAACCATAACCTAACTACACTGCACTACCTAGACGCAGAGGAAGGTACTCGTCTGCTAAAGGTGGCAGCCTTCCATGAAAAGAAAAACCAGTTCAAAATCTACGGGGGAAAGGTGAAGACAGATTTGGAATTCCCTTCACCAAGACAAGGGCGCCCATGGAGCGGTTCAAGGCGGGTGGACCTTGAGATTTCGCCACAAACGCTGCCAAATGGTGGGATCCATAGAGGCCCTTTCGGTGGTATAGATCCCACGAACCGCCCTCAGAATGTCTGCTACCACCACCTGACAGGAAAGGTCTTTACGTTGAAGGGAAACCTGACACCTTGCCATCCAAGTGAAATACTTAACCACTGAACTGACTACATAAAGAGTGCCCAAATCAAAAGCCCTCCCCCTTGAGTTGGACGTCCCGTACGCCCACTCCGCATAAGTCCAGCGGGATAAGCAGGGGATGCCTAAGGCGGCTGAGACCTCTTTGTAGACCTGTACGTTAAAGGGGCACTCGAGGAGGAAGTGGTCCATGGACTCCACTTCCCCGGAACATTCCACCCGAGGACAACCGCGATCCGTTATGTTCCTGTACTTCAAATTCCCTCGAACGTAAAGTCTACCGTGGAAGGAGAGAAACGCCACGTCTCGGTATTTCTCCGGAAGGCGCCTGGAGTTGATGTTTTTCAACCCCGAGGCGAGAGTACTTGGCGGGCAGTCCTTCAAAGCAAGCTGAATGCCAAAGTGGGTGGCCAGGACCCTCCCGTCGAGAAGCTTCTTGGGAGTGTCCCGAACCTCCTCCACCGTGACGTTCCACCTGCGCAGAATTCCCACTCCCTCGATGACCGAAGACGGAAGATAGCTAGAATGCCGAACTCTCATGCTCTTCACCCTCCCACCCTGAAACCAGTCCACCAGGAAAGGTGTGACCCACTCCCTGAATATACATACCCAGCCAGGCTGCTCATCCTTCAGGAGAGCCCCAAAGTTCCTTTTCAGGAAGTTGTTAGTTAAAAAGACGATGGGGTTGACCATGGCCAGACCCCCGTCCTTTCTGGCCAGAACAGGCTGAACCTCATCAAAAGAGAGAACAGGCTGAACCTTTTGATGAGGTTCAGCCTGTTCCCCACAACATGCGGAAGAACAGCGCAAACATCCGAGCGTGAAGGGACCTGGGCAAAAGGAAGATGTTACTGACGTAGCCGAATACGGTCAGAACATAGGTTTTGATTAGGTTCATCCGTTCTCTGAACGTCAGTTTCCACCTGTGGCTCTCCTCCACCTTGCTAGAAGCTATGGCAAGCCGTTTGGTCCAGTTCCTGAGAGCCGGATCCCCTGGTCCGAACACCACCCCCAAGATCTTAATTTCAGGCTGGGCCCTCGGGAAACCGTCTGGAAGAGGGAACTGGTCCCCCTCCTTCCCGCACCAGAAAACTACGCTCTTGTCCCCGTTGACACGAGAGGCTGAAGCGGCAGAATACACTAGGATTAAATCATCCACCTCCGTGGCCTCCCGAGTATTGGAGACCACTATGGAGATGTCATCAGCGTAGGCAACAACCCGTAAAGGCCTCTCCGGAGCCCTGGCCACTCCCTGTAACGTGCCTGCCTTACCTTGCCTGACCCCGGATCGGATCCTAAACGTCCTGCCCCTCCACCCGTTCACAAGAGCGAAGCTTTCGGCCCCTCTGTACAAGGTGATTATCCAATTGACGAATTTTCCCGGCAAGCCATACTTCCGCAAGACTGACCACAGATAACGGTGATCTACTCGATCAAAAGCTTTGGACTGATCAAGTGAGAAGGTATATCCCCCTTTCTCCGTCCCTGCACTTCTCGAGGGCTTCCCTGACTTCGAAAACAGCATCAAAGACAGTTCTGCCCTCGATTGAACAGTACTGGGAGGTGGATAGGACACGCCTCGCTAGGCCCTGTACTCGTTTCATCAAAATCTTTGCCAGGACCTTCCTGTCGACATTTAACAGGGATATGGGGCGCCAGTTCCCCACATCCGCTGTGTCGAGCACGTTCGGCTTGGACAGCAAGATCAGGGCAGAAGTCCTCATCGAGGGTGGCAATAATCCTTGAGCCAAGCTCTCATTAAACACCTCGGTCAGATGAGGGGCCAAGAGGTCGCAGAACTGTTGGTAAAACTCGGCCGTCAGACCATCAGGACCTGGCGACTTACACTTGTTCTGCTGTTGGATACTCTCTGTGACCTCTTCTATGGTGATCTCGCTGACCAACTCGTCAAAAGAGAGGTCGCTATGCTCAGGGAGCGTGAGCTCGCTCAAGAAGTCATCCACCCTTCTCCCGTGGGAGGTTCCCTCCTCGCTACATTGGGGGCTGCCCTTTCCGAGGAGCTCAATATAGTAGTCGCGGACCACCTTCAGAATCCCGCGAGGAGACTCCTCTAGGGTCCCGTCGGTGCCCCGCAGACTAGGGATGGACTTGGTACCTTCCTTCCGCTTGCAGCTAAGATAAGGATCGGGCGAGCGGTATGACCCATGATCCCTCTCTTTTACAAGGGAGGCGTACCTGTCATACTGATAACTCCTCATCAGGTTTTTAACTGCCGCAATGTCCTCGGGGTCACCTCCCTGCGAGATCAGGATGTCTAACCTCCCAAGCAAGCCCAGATACATCTTGTACCTGGAGGACTGCATGTTCCGGGCGAGATTGTGAAACAGCCGTTGAGTTCTGGCCTTCACCATCTCCCACCACCCAGACGTACTATAGACGTTCAACTCGCAAGACAAAATGTGATGGTCGGAGAACTCCACCGGTGTAAGCACGGGTGCCGCCACCGGGAAATTCTCCTTAAAGAAAAACCTATCTATCCTACTCTGACAGCTACCTCTGTGATAAGTGTACCCACCCGTGGGATTGGGAGTGTGATGAAGGTACACATCGACCAATCCAGCCTGACTAACCATCTTATTTAAAAAATAGGAGTCATACCCCAGCCTCTGAGTGGCGTCTCTCCTGTCTTGAGGCCTAGTTATGGTGTTAAAGTCACCACCAAACAGGATTTGCTGGGATGTATAAAGGTAAGGCTCTATCTCAATAAACAGGCGCTTCCTCTCCCACTTAGATTGGGGGCCATAGATATTAATTATCCTGAAAGGTTGCCTGCCCATTGAGACATCTAAAACCACACACCGTCCTTTTTGCAACTCAATAACCCTGTTGATGCTAACATCAACGTCCTTAAATAGGATGGCGATTCCCCCATATCTCTCTGTGGCTAGAGAGAAGTAGGAGGGCCCCCATCTCCAGTCCCGCTTTGCAGCGTGCAGGGCCGCGAGGGTTTCCAGCCGGGTCTCCTGTACCAAGATGACATTGTACGGAGCCCGGCTGAGGTGGTCGTAAACCAAAAAGCGGGCCCTGCTGGACTTAATGCTGTTTACATTCACCGTAGCCACAGAGAGTACAGGAAAAGTCGCCATAGGGGCATTAAGTATAAGGAGACTTTCCCTTCCTTCTGCGGTACCCCTCCTCCTCCGTGTCGGAACCGAGGAACCTCTTCACTGAGACTCCGGGATACAGTGGCCCGTCGTCTCTCAGAAGCACCTCCTGTCCCACCTCAACCCCTGCCACCACCTCGGGGAGGTTCGCCATCTCCTCCTCGTACTCACAGTCGGCCCAGCTGGAGGACAGTGCCTCGTACCTGTTAGATACGGGCACCGGGGCCTCCTGCAAGCCCGAAGAGGAGGATGACGCCCGTGCCACACCACCCTTATAAGTGGCGTCTCCCCCTTTCGGGGGTTTCGCCGCAGGGGGTATGGCGATCTTCCGGGGTGAGGGCAGCGTCGAGGTCTTGGAGGGGGGGGTTTCTTACCTTTCACTGTGCTCCACTCTAGGGACTGTGCATCTAAGGGACGTGCATCTGGGTATTTTTCAGTGTGGGTAACCTTCACCGTGGGGAATTTAGGAGGGGGGGGCCTAGGGGGAGGGGGTCTAGGGGGAGCCATAATGGCTGTGGAGGTAGTGCGTTCTCTACGTACACTTTTCGTGAGGGGACGTGAACTTGTGGCCTTCCCAGGGTCCTGAGATGTTACAGAGACCGAGGGGAGGATGGGTTGTTGCTGGGGCAGGGAAACCCTTGTGCCAGAGATGGGCCTTGTAGATGATGATGCTACCTGAACCCCTAACCCAGCAGAGTCCATCTCCACCGGCTCCTGACTCCAGATGGACTCTACATTGTGCTGGGCTTCGGGGGAGGTGCGGTACGTGTGACCCATCTCTGAACACAGATGACACCGGATCTCCCTGCAGCTGTCCCGGAGGTGCCCCACAGCGCCGCACATAGTGCATTTGAGGACCGTACAGGCATTGCTGTAATGCCTGTACGATCCGCACTTGTGACATACCCTGGGCTGACCAGGGTAAAAACAGGATACCCGGTCAGCCCCGATGAAAAAACTATTAGGCATATGCTGTGTGACACCTCGAATCTCCCGCAGCAACACTGAAACAGTCCATCCGCCTGTCCAAATCCCATCCTCATCTAAGATCTTAACAGGGGGGGATTTAACATCCCCAAACCTCTTAGTCCAAACAAGGATGTCTGCTATGGGGATGGATTCATTTCTCACCAGGAAAGTGACCTTCTTAAGACCCTGGCGAGAAATGGCCACAGCGGTGAATCCTGCCCACTTTGTACCCTGTGCAGACCTGGCCGCTTCCCACCCAGCCCAGAAGCGATCCAGGAGCTGCGACGTCATAAAGGAGACGTCGAACTCCCGGGTGCCCGAGGCATGGATGAGCGCGTACAGGTCCACGGGCGCAAATCCCATATCCTTTAGCCGGGTCACCAGCCACCGTCTGTCAGGAACCTGGGTCTCACCCCCACAGATGAGCCGTACCGCGTTCCTCCTGTTCCCAAAGGAAACCTGAGGACGCGTAGCAGGCCCGTCCGCAGAGAGGCGAGGTGGCCCAGATGCCCAAGCATTGGGCGCACCGGGACCCGCCGTCTGGGAATGATTCGGACGGACTCCCCTCGCTGAACCAGAGGCCTCGGTCACACCAGAACCCTGGGTGACAACCTGGGAGTGCCTAAGGGGAACCCGTGTACCTGCTTGTGCGTCTAAACTATTTATAACCGCGGCACCCTTTGTCAGGGTGCCTGTGCCCGTGCTCATGCCCGCCACCTGTGTACCAACTAACTCCAGTGAACCAGGGGCAGGGGCAACATAACCTGAGGCGGGGGCAACATAACCAGGGGCAGGGGAAACAGTACCAGGGGCAGGGGCAATAGTACCGGGGGCGGGGGCAACATAACCAGAGGCAGGGGCAACAACACCAGGGGCAGGGGCAACAACACCAGGGGCAATAGTACCGGGGGCAGGGGCAACAACACCAGGGGCAGGGGTAACAACACCAGGGGCAGGGGCAACAACACCAGGGGCAGGGGCAACAACACCAGGGGCAGGGGCAACATCATTAATACAAACAGGCTGGCTGTGGACCTTTTTACTAAGGCCAATAGGTCCCATCATTACATTTACAGTTACATCCATACTCCCATCCTCCTCAGCCATCCCTAAACCACCAGTGGAGTCAAACACAATGTTAGTCATACTTTTCTTACCTCCACTGGCGGTTTCCTCAGTATGGACTGCTGGCTGAGGATGATGGGAGTCCCCTGCAGTCCTGTCTTCCATAGCGCCAGCGGCACCCGCGGCACCAGGAACAACAGGAACAACAGGGGGACTGGTTACACATGCAGACATAAGGGGAACACATAGGGAAGCAGGGGAAACAGACTTGAAGACAAACTTGGACACATCCAGGGAAACAGACTGGGGGACAAACAGGGGAGGAGACTTGCTGGTAGGGGAGAGCAGTCGAGCTTGCTCCAAAGGAGCAGAGGGAAAAGGAGGGCCATCACCCTGCTCCAGACTGCTCCATCCAGTGCCATCCTGCCCAGCAGCCGCCTGAGGACAGGAGGCAGAGGTACCAGCCACTCCAGGGGACGCAACCACACGGAGAGGAAGGTCAGAGGGAAGGCAGGTAAGGGAGGGAGTGGGAAGGGAGCAAGGGAAGGACCCCTCCATGGGATCACCGGTACACGCCATAGTACCGGCGGGGATGGTCTCCCTGTCACCATGGAGGGCGGCGGGGGGCCCAGATACTTCCACAGAGGTAGGTTGTGCAGGTTTCTGGGGCATACAGGTGTTGCCACCTGCAGGGATAGTATCCCTGGCCCCAGGCTTCTGCAAGGCCTGAACATCATCATTGTACATATACTCAGCATTTGAGCACTCACCCTCCTCTGTGGAATCTCCAGACCCCCTGACAGAGGTCTCAGGCTGACGCCGGGCGATGTTTTTCTTTTTCTTCTTTTTCTTCTTTTTGTCCTTTACGGAGTCCTCCCCAAGTTCGTTTCAAAACTTGAGGAGAGACTCCTTAATCAGCCCTCGACCTCTGTCCTGCACTTTCAGCTGCCACTCTTCACCTTTCTCTCCGTCCCACTCCTCTTCACTGTCCTTCTCTCTGGCCTTCCCCTCCGTCTCAGCAGCGCCCCCTGGAGTAGCAAGGGCAGAGGTAGACGGCTCCCCAGGTGAGTGATGGGAGTTGGAATCCAAGTCCTTGCTGGACTCCTCACCTGGGGACATGTCCCTCCTGCCCTCCATAGCCCTCTGCCTCCTGGACCTCGCAGCGTCCTTGGCTCTCTGTTGCAGGATGGCCTGGATGTCTGCTATTTTCTTTTCAGTCTGGAGCAGGGTGTAGGATAGATGCAGCTCCACTAATTTTTTCTCAGCTATAGCGGCCCTCAAAGGACCTCTTTTGTAATTAGAGGTCCTGTTTGATTTTTCCCTCTGCTCCCTTAGCTCTGCCTGGACCCCAGCTAGGCCCGAGTCTGCCTCGGCATGCTGGGCCTTCAGGGACACAAGCAGACCCCGGAGCCTGTCAGAAGGTAGCCCCATAAAGGCCTCAACCCCCTCACCCTTTGCAGCCTCAGCATAGGTGAGGGAGGCCTGAGGGGCCTTGCTGGCACTAGCCACCTCAGGGGGGGTCTCAGGGACTACCTCCTCCTCGGTACCCTCTCCCACCTCCAGGGACGGGGGGGGCTGTTCTAGGAAGTGGAGGCCACTGCTGGCAAGTTCACGGCACTCAGCCAGCAGCCCAGAGAGCAGCTGGATATCGGCCCTGGTGTGGGCCGTAGCTCCCTGGGGGACCCCCACTTCCCTTTTCCATGCTGTAAGCTTCCTAGATATCCCCCCCGCCAGTTCCTCCAACAGGGAGACCTGGTTTCGTATTTGCCGGGAGAGGGCCTGATGCTCAGTCCAAGACCTTCCCCAAAAGCCAGCACTGCCTGCAGCTCGTCCAGCCTGACCTTCCATCCCCAGGCTGGGGAGGAAGGCCCGAGGGCCATGCTTGCCTAGGCCCAGGCAGAGCCCCTTGCTGTAGTAATTCCAAAGCCCAGAAATCGAGCTCCAAAGCAGCCACAAACGGGTGTGGTCCTGGGAACACACAGATGAAGCACAGAGCAGCTCCCTCTCCAGCAGTAATGGCAAACTCCTCCTACTCCAGTGGGAGGGGAGACTGTAAGCCCCACACCTGTGCAGATGGGACCGTGGTCTCTGCACTCCCAGCACAGGGGGTAGGGACGGTCGGTCCTGCCCCCCCATGACAGGGCTGTTTAGCCAAAGGGGAGACA